AAAAAAAGCAAAACTACTCCCCAATCTACGGAGTGAACTAATATTCCCTACACTCCCGGAGAAGACCTGCTCTCCGATACTTACGGCCGAGCTCAATTATTAAAACAACAGCAAAAGCAATTAAAAGCCATCGAAAGAGAAGAAACCACCGGCCGAAGAATAGCCCATGACGACGGCTCGGTCTCTTACCAACCGACTTATGATGAAACTACTAACTGGGGAGATAAAACTTGATTAGGCAAACTTTTAAGTGCCCTCCAATATATCCAATTGGACTTTGACCCCAAGACTTACAGGTTTTTATTTATTAAACTGTTTGGAGCCTCGGGAACCCTGATCACTCTCCCCAGTGGGAGAAAAAAATGAATTCCTACCTCCTATGAAGAAGATGAAGCAGACCTACCTACCCCCAAAAAGAAAACCGAACAATACCCCGACATTACTTGAGAAGAATGAAAACTAATTTGCCAAGGAGAAAACCAAACTCCTACTCAGCAAAACTACTATCTGGAATGCATCACTCGCTATCATAAACGCAAAGAAAAAGAAAAAGCCCCCACTGGCTCCCTTACAGCCTTAGGCATCGAAAAACAAAAAGAACTGTCTGAAGGACTTATCCAGGCCTGGAGTAAAGACTTAAATGTTCCCTCTTTAACCAAATTCAATGAAGTAATGAACCAAGTAGTCGGCTATGAGGAATTTAAGAATAAAATGCGTATGTATCTCGTAAATTTAGCCAAAGATATCCGAGATAACAAAAAAACTGAACAAACCATTTATGTTTTATTAGGCCCTCCTGGTATTGGTAAATCCTACATTAGTGAAAAGGTGGCTGAAGGAATGGAACGACCCCTTATTAACATCGACCTGGGAGGCCGAACCGACACTGGTATTTTAGAAGGAGTTAGCCCTAGCATCAAAGCCGCCTATCCCGGCCGTCTTTGCTCGGGAATTAGCCTCAGTAAAAACCGAGGAGCCATTATTCTTTTAGACGAGTTTGAAAAAGTTCGAGACGAAGGCTTAGCTAATATGATGGGCAATGTTTTAGACATTAAAAAAAATAAGGATTGATACGACCAATTCCTCGGCTACCGGGTGGATTTATCAGATTGCATTCTCCTTTGCACGGCCAATTATGCTGACCAAGTGCCCGACTTCGTGCAAAACCGAGCTGAGATGGTTAACATCGAACTAGCCACTTATCAGCAAAGGGTTGATTATGTTATGAGAACCTTAAAGAAAAAACTAACCAGTGATACCGACACCACCCATTATGCCGACCAACTAACAGAGGATTTTTGCAAATACATTATCACCGAGGAGTGAGGATACAGACAAACCAATGCCAACATGGAAACCATCTTCAAAACCCTCCGAGGCTATGGTTCTGAAGAGATTAATCAACCCCTTAATGATTTTACTGATTACACCAACCTACAAGAAACCTCTACCCGCTGAATATTTACTTACCAGCAAGGACAAAAGATTTCCCTCATCCGAGTAAGGACCGAGAATGAACAAGGAGATAGTGTGGTTAGTTTACCTAATTTAAATTGACCCCAGTTTGGTTTTAGTAAGCCGAAGGTGGTGATAACGAGATAAAAAGTATGACAAATATAGCAGCAAATTTAATAATCCGACCCGAGGACATTCGGGCTAATCCGGAATTGTGAATACAGAAAATATCCGTAATCCTCTTCACTGACTCCAATGGTAAGCCCTGATGAACTCGAGAATATAAGTTTTTACCTAATCATGAGAGGTATAATCAGGCTGTTAAGTTCATTAGAGAAACAGAATTCCCAGAATATAATTGTCGGATAATTCACAATACTAACAATGAAATTGAAATAATCACCAGGAATTATTTTGGCAAAAAGGCTAGTTTAGAACAGCAACAACAAGGCATTATTAGGAAAATTAAAAGAAAGTTAGGGGAAATCATAAGAGAATTGGGAGAAGAAAGATCGGAGGAGATTAAAGAAATAAAGGAATTAGGTAGATCTAACAATATTCAAAGCTTTTTAGAAAGTGAATACCGGGAACTTTACGAAGAAGAAGCCGAAGAATTGGAAAGACTAGAAAGAGAAAAAGCAAATTTAGGAGAAAACGAACAAGGAGTTTCTTATGATTTTGCTCGCCCTGATTTAGCCATTTTATGAAGGAAGCAGTTATATTTTGTTACTTATTTTGAGTATGCTAATAATTGAAGGCTAACAGTGCAGATAAGGGCTATTAAATGCCCTTTAAGTATCTATTATTGGAATTGAATGAGAGGGGGAGGAGTAGGATTTTTGGAAAAAGGACCAGTGATTGAAGACAAAAACCAAAGAATGCATTATGAGTTTTGTGGGGATTTGGGGATTAAGAAAATTTACCGTCAAATTTTTTCTTATCAG